GAGGCAGTGGTTTGGCTATAGCTGTAGATTTGGTGTGTCTGTGATAGGACGTGAGTTGAGGATCCTCCTACTTGCTATTTTGAACAGGAACTGATGCATATAATGTACTGGTGACGAGGTGCATGAATTCATGCACATTGAAAGGAAATTAATTAGAAGGTGGTTGGCGGGGTGGGACTGGGTGAGATGGACCTGACACAGGCTGGAGCCAACCTCCCGCAGTCTCTCTCTGGCGTCTCTGGAGTGAGCAGGGTCCCTCCAACAGGTGGCCTGCAGGGATCAGGTCGAAACCAGAGTATGAGAGAGCTCTCTGCAAAGTTGCTGTTGTACAGGGTGTGGAATGCAAACACAAGTGTGCAGTAAACCAGATTCGGGGCCGGGAGTGCCCCAATGACAACATAACCCATGGCCAAAGGTGGAAATGTGCGATCCCGCGAGGAATTGGGCTCCCTTCTCTCTGGTTTTGGGGTGTGTCACCTGAGAACCACCACTGCCAAGTCACTGCATCTTGGCAGCTCCTGGGTTGAGCATCTGTCTCCTGGTGGTCAGTGTGCATCATAACAACTGTTTGGATGATAGGAGGGACACTTAGCATATTAGCCTTTTATATATGTAAATATTTTTTTTAAATATATTAATTGCCAATGTTTAAAAATTGCTTGTGTGGGTAATTGAGTTTGTAAACCCTGTGTTCATTTGTCAGGGCTGCCATAAAAAATACCACACAGACTGGTTAGCTTAAACAACAAAAAATTATTTTCTTACTGTTCTGAAGGCTGTTGGCAGGTCCAGGTTCTTCTGAGGCCTCTCTTTTACTTGCAAATGGCTGCCTTCTTACTGTGTCCTATGTGTGTTCAAATGTCCTCTTTGGTAAGGATACCTGTCAGGTTGAATTAGGACCTATCCTTGTTTTAATCTAATCACCTCCTTAAAGGCCCTGTCGTAAAAAACATTTTGAGGTACACATCTGAGGGGAAGAGGTTGATAGGACTTTAATAAATAAATTCTGGAGTAATACAATTCAGTCCATAACAACCTGTCATTAAAAAAATCTAGTATGTAGATACAGAAAAATGTACAACTGAAAATCAGTAGCCATAAAGGAGAAGATAATCAGAATAACAAAATGCAGTCAATACAGAACTCAGGAGAGAACTTTAATAAGTATTCTTGCCGAAACTGGTTTGGCGCAGTGGATAGAGCGTTGGCCTGCAGACTGAAGGGTCCTGGGTTTGATTCCAGTCCAGGGCATGTACCTTGGTTGTGAACACATTCTCAGTGGGGGGTGTGCAGGAGGCAGCTGATCGATGTTTCTTTCTCATTGATGTTTGACTATTTCCTTTTCTCTCTGTAAAAAATTAATAAAATATTTTCTTAAAAAAAGGATTTTTAGTGAGATAAAGACCGGCACACACAAGTCTAACATCATTAGACATTCAAGGAAAAATAAAAATCAGACATTCAGGCATAAGTCACATACATCATAAGGGAAGGAAAATCAGATTATTATACCTTTATACAGTACAGTTTATGAGAGAAGACATGAATTTATGAGAAGACATAATTTAATATGGAATTCCATATTTAAGATACTCAAGAAACATGAGCCCAAGATTTTACATATATCTAAACTGAATTTTAATTATAAAAGTGTCACAAACTGTCATTTACTATGCTTAAGCTTTGTTCCCATCATCCTTTCCTGAGGAACCTTCTAGAGAACAAGGTTCAGGGAATCAAATAACTAGAGAGACATTAATGTAAGGACTGATTGTTAGCATTGCACATATATTTAGACAACCAAGATGAAATGAGGATTAAAAAAAAAGAAACTATGGTTTGTAAAGAGGTGGAAAGGAGAATGGAGAGATCATATTCAAAACATTAAAAAAAAACTTTTTAGTAATCATATTGGCAGTGGTAGTATTGGTATTATTTGTAGGCTGTGTAATGTGAAATAAAAAGCAAATGAGTAATTGTGTTATTCTAATTTGTCATAAACTGTGTCCTTGAGACTCACCATATCAGAATAGAAGACAGAGGATAGAGGCTACTGAGATTGGGGGATGTGTGTGTATAGGGTGGGCGGGCATGTGTTTGTAGCTCAGATAGAGAAAATAAGCTAAACATTTAACTCCTGCAATTTTAAAAAAGGAGAGTAGATAAATAATACATCTACACCAGAAGAAGGAGGAGGTAAAAGGGTGGGGAGTAAAAGGGAAGAGGGGAGTAGGGGGAGGAAATTAACAGTATTAAAAATTTACAAAAAAGAAATAAAATGCACCTAAGCCATAAAAAAATTACAAAATGGAATCAATAAAATGGATTTGACTAAATCAGTTTAATCATTAAAAAATTTTGGTTAGAGAAAAAACAAACATAAAGACAAAATATTAGAAATAAATATGAATAATTTCTAACAACAATTTCTAAGCAGTTATGTCCATAACTTTAAAAGTCCAGGAGAATTAGATGATTTTTATGTACAGGTTTACCAAACATAAAGAACAGGACATTTCCATGTTGTTTAAGTTATTTCAAAGTATAGAAAAAAAGTTACAGAAAGCACCATTTTATTTAATGAGAGGCATAAACCTGGGTACCAAAATGTAGCAATATTAGTTATACTGCATAATCTTCAGTATGGACCTCCATATCCTGTTTTCTCTCATGTGAGACTTTTCTGGACAACATGAATGGGCCTCTATGTCCCCTGGCTTCTGATTGGATTTGGAAATGGAGAGCTCTGGCAAGAATTGGAGAAAGAAGGAGACTAAAGTTTGGATATTTATTCCCCTGGCTCATTCCTGTGTGTAGATTCCATAGTCTGGCTCTCTGTCTTCTGAAAGTCCTATTCCTTGCAGGGGGGCTGTCTTTGTTACTAGCCTGGGTTATTGCACTCAGCCTTTGAGATTCTCCTAAGCCTTATTGACAGCGTTGTAAATAGTCCACTTGTAAATAACCTAAGTGGGCCATCTGCTTTCTATAGATCCTTTCTGATTTAGGATCTTGCATTGGTAGAAAGTATGAAATTAAAAGTACTACTTTTGGCTTCTAAGAAAATATACAGTACAGAAGAACATTAATTACGAAGTTAAGAAAAACAAAAATATAAACATTTAAAATATATACTACACAGGGTTTATATAGTATTTAATTTTCTACCATTTATTAGAATAGTAAGTCCTGACTTAGTGTCCTTGATAGGTTCTTAGACGTTAAGAAAATGACATAATGAAACCAATTTTACCATAGGCTAATTGACTTAAACAAAAGTAAGTTCCTGTGTTATCTCAATGTTATAATGAAACTAGGGGCCTGGTACAAGAAATTTGTGCATGAGGGCGGGGGGGGGGGGGATCCCTCAGCCCAGCCTGAACCCTCTCCAGTCTGGGACCTCTCGAACATCCCTCTCACAATCCACTGGCTCCTAACCACTTGCCTACCTGCTGGCTTGATGGCCCCAAACCACCTCTGCCTGCCAGCCTGATGCCTCTAATGGCTCCCCTGCTGGCCTGATTGCCCCCCCCCCCCCTCCATCATCCCCCAACTGAGCCTTGGACCACTGGGCAGCTGCCATTGGTGACTTTTCTGAGCCTTGGGCCGGCCTGGGAGGCTGAGTAGCCTCCATCCCCGGCTTCCCTGAGCTGTGGGCCGGCCCTGGGCAGCATCCCTGGCTTGCCTGAGGCTCAGGAGCCGCAGGCTTCGGCTTTGTCCGGAAGGATGTCTGGAAGATCTCCCAGTCTAATTAGCATATTACCCTTTTATTAGTATAGATGCTGCTTAATGAAATGACTTTATTCAAAGATCTGATGTGTTGTATTTACGTTGTTTTCTGAATGTGATCATTAAATTGTGCTTATATAGAAGAACGCCCTTATTCTTAAAGAGATATACTTCAATATTTAGGGATGAAGTGTCATGATATATGTAACTGTCAAAGGGGACAGCAAAGGAAAAAGTATTTTGTGTGCAAATAAGAGACAAAGTAACTGTGTCAACGTTCATAATTAGTGCATTTTTGTTAAGGTATATGGTTATTCACTCTTTTTATCTTGCAATTCCTTTGTGGCTTTGAAATGTTCAAAATAAGAAGTTGGGGGAAATATTACAAACAGTAAAAAATAAAATAATTATATAACTAAACAGTTTTGTAAAACTGATAAAAAACAGATAAAATGCCAGCATTTGAACAAGCAAATCACTGAAGGAGAAATACAGATAGCCTTTCACAAAATGATGCTTGATTTGAATAATGAAGTAACACACATTTAAATAAGCTGTCAGTGTTCATCTGTTAAAGTAGCAAAGATAATCCTCAGTGCTGTTGGGGATGTACAAATTTAATGGAAAAAAATAGCTTGGTGCCTGCCTTCACGTGTGCAGCCTGGCAATATCTGTGATTGCTCAAAATGTGTATGATATTTAATCACAGCAATTTCATTAAATGAAGTAAATTTAATGAGTTAATAGGAGAAGTGAGTAAGGTTATATGTACCAGTCATATACTTTGCAGCATGTTTAGTAGTAGCAGAAACCATTTAAATGTCCATCAATTGGGATTTTATTTTATGTAAGTAGCATATATAATATTTAAATATTAAACACAGTAGTTAATATATTGATGTAAAATGGCATCTCTGATTATTATGTAAAATATAAGCAGGTTAGATAAAAATATTACATACAGTTCTACCCCATTTAAAGTAAATTATCTACAAATTATGGACATAATTTTAATCTATACCAACATTTGGGAGACTGTCAGAAAGGTAGGAAAATTATAGGGGAGTGAGACTTCTTTGTTCTTTTTGTATTTTTTTAATTTTAAAAGAAATAAGCATCATGTAATAGAAAATGTAACAATTTTCATTTAAAAGTCTTTGCAATCATTTTTTTCTTTAAAATAATTTTGTGTATGCTGCTGTGTTTATATAGTCTTATTGAGTGATAAATAAATCTGTTAAGGAACTCATTTTGCTCTTGTATCCTGTTTTCAGAGCAGTGGAAAGAGCTCAGTGCTAGAGAGCCTAGTGGGGAGGGACCTGCTTCCCAGAGGCACTGGTATTGTCACCCGGAGACCTCTCATTCTGCAGCTAGTCCATGTTTCACCTGAAGATCAACGAAAAACCACAGGAGAAGAAAATGGTAAATTTTAGAATTGGAATAAGAATTATTATTTTGGGTCAAATCTTAAAGCCATGAATTGATTAGACAGGTAGAAATTAGTGGCTGTAGCAGAATCAGAAGTCCTGTGAAGAGAAGTGGTATGCATCTTTTCTCATGAAAAAGACAAGTAATTTTTGTTGTTATGAGGAGGATAGTAATCTTGTTTGGAATAGTACCTTTTTGTTATTCAGCTTAGTAAACTCTTGTTAATGCTGTATAATGCAGTATTTTAGTAAGAAACTTAGCAAATAGGAATCAGTTCTTTTAAAGAAAAAGTTTTTGTCTTGAGTGTTTTAAACTTTTTTCCTAGTATTTAAAACAATGTTTTTGCTTTTTATATTTTGATTTAGAATTTAAATACTTTGATGATAGTTTAAGATTTTTATTTTAAATGACTTTGCTTTTCAGCATAGCAGTGTTAGCTTACCTTCAGTTTTCTGATCTTACCATTGTGCCTGTTGTTTGAATCTTTTGATAAGATGATTATTTTTAGAAAGTTTTAATTTTTAAAATTATTTTTTTACTTCCCTTCTCTTGCTAAGGTTTACCTATATTGAACATACTGTTTTGATTTTTAGATCACCCTCCCCTAAATAATAAATTTGGGTTACTAAGACAAGAAAATATGCACTGTCCTTTATTACACTTCTTTGATTAAACTGAATATTTAAGAAATGCTGTCTGTGTCCATCAGCAGATTTTAAATTACTTATTAAATATGTATCCTATATTAATCATTTATATTAGTGAACTTTGGAATGATTGATGAGAGTAATTATTTAATCTTCCTTTTTTAGTTCAGTGTTTGGTTCAGACTTAAATTTTAAAAGTCTGTAAAGTAGCTTTAATTATTAAATGACATTTGCAGCAGAGCACCATGTTTGTTGTTCATCACAGACATCTGTTTTCAGGGCAATTTCATTCTACTTTCGGTATCTGATCTAAGATGATAGTATTGATGAAACCGAAGTTACTTTAATTTCTGTATCTGAATTCTTTTTCTTTACTTGTTATAGGAGCATTGGTGGTGGTAGCTTGGCCCTCACCCCCAGGGAAACAGAATCTGTCATGAACAATTATGACTGTAGGAAGTTAATCAATGAAGCAAGTTAATGAAGTTGTAGATATTAACAGTAATTTTTTTGGGATAGACTGCCCAAAGATAGGTAGGAACCTTTTAATTATATTAGGTAGCTTCTTGGTATGTTATTCATTACTTTGCATTTCTATATATTTTTATTGAAATTCTGGACCTGAATTTAATCATTTTGTACTAATTCATGGTCTAGTTTAAAAAATATAGAATAATACTTTAAAATTTTATTTCTACTAACTTGTTAAATCAAATTTGCCAAATACTTTAAACTACAACTTTAATGTACTATATGGCATTCATTAGATGTCTTCCTTTTAACTTTCTTCAGTCACCTAGAAAAAGGTAGATGATAAACCCATCTCTCAGAAACCATTTGCTGATGTGGCAGTCAGTGTTTCTAGAAAAGGGTGTGCATTTCAGCTATAGAAGTGTTAGTTTCTCACTCTTTGCTTGTATGTCCACTGTTTTGTTGATGTCTCTTCTTGGTGGTTGGCCAGTAAATCTGCAAATCTTTACATGCATATGCATATATTTTCCAAGCTTAGTGCTTATTTTTTTTATATATAAGAAGATAAAACCTCACTTAAAATGACAACTCAGCTACCCAAAACACAAAATAGATTTCATAAATTTTGAGTACTAAATTTCATGTGTCTTATTAACATTAGGATAGTTCTTTAGTTTCTCCTCAGAGCCTCTTTATCCTCAGGATAAACAATTTTATCTAGTCATAAGCCATTTTAACTAACGCAGAGGATATTAGAAAGAATGACGCAGAAAACAGCCAGAGGAGTATGAATCACTGACAGCCTGAAAGAGAAAAGAAAGGGAAGAAAACATAATCAGAAGAACTTGAAAAGAGGAAAAAAAGTATCTTATCATTTTGTACAGAGATTTATAGCTTCAGAGGGCTTTGTTATGTAACAAAGGCTGAAGTTATCAAAATAAGAGTTAAATTTAGGAGGAGCAATTTAGATAGAGGTCAGCAAAGCTGGCTTAAGTAAAATTTTAATGTTTGATATGTATAATTATAAGGAAAATTTACTTAACATGAAATCCTTTATTCTGAGGATTACATAGGATAACTGAGGTGTCAGTATATAAATTTACAGTAATTTTCAGCTTGTCCCCCACTCTGCCAGTGTAAAAGAATTTTCTGATAAAATTTTAATAAAAACAAAATTAAACTATAAGAAAAAAAAATCATGCTTTCCCGAAAAAGATTTCCTTTTAGACAAAATCCATAAAAAACATGCTGATTGAAGACCAAGTTGTTTTTGTGGTATTCTGTTAAATTCAATATATATTTCAAAAAAACAATTCCTTAGAAAGCTCAATCTTAATGAATATATGCAAGCATATTTACTTGCTCTTAAGGTTTTGAAAGATGTATTTGGTATGTTTTATAGATTCTTTTTGACCAGGCAATTTGTTTTTTTTCTGTAGTCAGTTATCAAATATCTAAGGCAAATTTTAATCCATTTATGCTAGAATTAGAAACCAGAAGTGACATAATTAATTGTAATGGAAAATAAAAATAAATTATGGCTCACAACATGTCCATTTATATCACTTAAAATATTATAATATATACATCCCTCTAACTAGAATTATACTGAAAATTATATAGTTACAAATTTTGAATAATTGAATGCTATGAGAATTTGAAATATATTCAGGTTTCTGCACATTTTTAAAAAAGGTTTAAAATATTAGGGATAAGCACTAAACTTACCATTCTGTGCTGTTTCTCTTTAACTACAGACCCTGCTACATGGAAAAACTCAAGACACCTTTCTAAAGGTTTCCTTTTTCCATTTGTTTTTGGCCCTTTTTCTATTATGCCTGCATGTGTGCTTATGTACTCTCACAGGCTGTGTGCATTTTTTTTCTTCTATTTTTATTTGCTTATCCACATTGATTGTGTGCAGGTTTTAGTGGCTCTTGTTACCTTTCGGCATTTCATCAGATTGAAAGCTTTTTTTTTTTTTTTTTTTTTTTAATAGTGAATGCATTGCATTTTTTAATTTAAAAAACATGCTTGTGAAGCCAGGCCTTTATAATATAAGGTAAATTCAGAACACCCCTTTGGTATGTAGTACCTGCCTCTGTGAGTTCTGTTCACCTAGATAACTCCAGTTCTCCAATGAGACTTCTTGGAAGAAGGTACTAAGCTTCAAGTAGGTGAGCATTTTACTTGTAAAAAGGATCCAGTTTTATTTACCTTTATTTCACCAAAGAATTGATCCACTTTTCCCTCAATAAGTATTTAAAGATCTTATGGTCGTTTTTATTTTGATTTCAGGTAGCTGATATGCATTATTCATAAACTCAGTCATTAACATTTAAAACTCTGAATTTGGCAAAGCAGAATACCTGTGCTTGGGGGAGGTAAAGCTAGTTTACCTTTTTACAATTAAACATTTCTAGCTTCTTAGGAAACACAAAGCAAAACTTGCTAAGTTTTAGACCACTCAAACAGTACCTACAGTGAATATATTTTCCTTTTTTTTTTTTTTTTTTAAGCAAGTGTAGGAGAAACAGACTTATTGGAAACTAATGGAGTGGAGCAAGTCCATACAATGCATATGCTGCGGTGTCCCCTTTCCCCTCTATTTCATTTCTTTCCTACTTTCCAGCCTAGAAACGTAGTCTTGGCTCAGAAGGGAAAAATTCACACTGAAAGTGCATATAAGTTTTTACACAATAGTTTCATACTCCTGAGAGAGTTCTTTATAGGAAAAATAAATGTGACTTTATAGGTAACCAATGAGAAGCCAAGTTAAAAAAAATAAAAATGGGTTGAAAAGTTAGCTGTTTCACTCACTTATTGCAAATTTTTACCATAAGTTATTTGTTAAGTCTAGAATATATTTTTTTTGTATTACTCAGTAAGATTCTTAATTTTTCTTCTTTCAAGCCATTAGCATAATTGAGTACCTTGACTGGATAACCTACTTTTATGTGTAAGATATTTAAAAATAAAGAATGTACTTTTTACTATAATATAAAATATGAAGAAAAGTGAACAATTTTTTTCCCCCATAAAATATAAATTTCAAATGGTGGGATGACCTGTGAGCAACTCTATCTGAAATTAGTCATGTTTTTGAAATACCTGATACCATTTTTAAAATGTGAAAGGATAATTCAGCAGATCCTAAGGTACTTGTGAAATTGTTGTTAGTGGCAAAATAGGAACCAGTAATATTGTGTTGCATTTTGGATTCCTAAATAAAGATAAAAAGTAATTTCCATAGCTTCTAATAAATGAAGCTTTTCTTTTTCCAGGAGTTGAAGCAGAGGAGTGGGGTAAATTTCTTCACACCAAAAATAAGGTAATGACAAAAGAATATCATGAAGAAATAACATACTGAAAAATTTTTTTGTACAAGTAGTTGATAATTTAGTTTCTTATTATTGACATTGTGGCATGTTATGTTGAAGAAGTTGTTACTTGTAAAATAAAGTTTATCTTAGTAACATTTCTAATCATAGTACTAGTTTATTTGAAAAACACTAGTTGAACCCTGTTCTCACTAATTTAGAGATTTCTTTAAAATGTTTAAAAAAGTATAGTTGATGTACAAAATTTTATTAGTTTCAGTCATGCAGTATAGTGATTAGACATCTGTATATCTTATGAAGGCTCACCACAATCAGCCTAGTACCCATCTGGCACATACATAACTATTACAATATTATTGCCTATATTCCCTATGCTATACTTATATCCCCGTGACTATTTTTATATGGAGATTCTTATTGTGGAAACAGGGAGCCTTGAAAATCTCAACTATGACTCCTTGACTCAGAAAAATATGTATATATATGTATGTATGTATATTAGAATTTGTTTACTAATTCTCTAAAACAGATCTGTAACCACCTTGAAATTTATCAAACCCCCCACTTATGAACTTTTAATCTTATTTTGAAAGTCATGCTTTTTTGTTTTAATAATTTTTAGCTTTACACGGATTTTGATGAAATTCGACAAGAAATTGAAAATGAAACAGAGAGAATTTCAGGAAATAATAAGGTAGGTATCTAATTTTAGAGCTGGAAAGTATAAACATTAGTAAATCTATCATTCAGAGTATTTTGTATATAATGTGTCATGAGCATTATAAATTCATAAACCTGGTCTTTGATACTAATGGAGTATTTTCATAAATATATTAAGACTACTTAAAATTCCTTTTATTTCTTAGAGCTTTTATATAATCAGATATTTCATTTTGATGTTTATTCTTGATTTTGTGATGTACATACCACTTTCTTATTCTTGAGTAAGATTGGATTTGCTTAATGCAAAGAGATAAATATTTTTATTTCAGTGAATATGAAAAGTATAGTTGACCCTTGAACAATGGTGGGATTAGTGGAAAATTTCGGCACTCCGCATATTCTGATTTCCAACCATGGAGTTGATTGACTCCTGAAAAACATGGGTTTTTAACTGTATAGATCAGTTAAAAAAAAATTCACATGTAAGTAGAACCAGTTCAAACCCGTTTTGTTCCAGAGTTAATTGTAATGTTAGCAACTGAATATTTTCTAATTTTCTAAGATTGAAGAGTTTAAATTAGGTGTCTAAGATACTAATTTTGACACTAGACACTATCAAACTGCTTCCTTAAATGCTTCTGTTTCTCTCCTTTTTTCCTATTACCTTTCTCTTTTTCCTTCCTTTTTATTTTTACCTCCATTCTTATAAATACCCAGAGGCACATTTAATCATATAAGTGAGCTCTAGCCTAGTACTACTATTCAACAAATATTTATTGAGCTATTTTTCTTGCCAGATACTGTGCTGGAGAGGCTATTTCCTGACAGGAAAGCATTTTTGGAGCCACGTTAATTTTTCATGCTTATGTAGGCTATTTGTCTGTGTTTTAGTGATTGACTCAGCTTTGTTCCTTATTGAACTTTAGGCTGATAATCTTTGATTTACTGCTACTGCTGCGATATGTTTCTGAATTTCTAATAATTGTATAGAAGCAGAAGAAGTAACGGGATACTAGTTTAGCTTATCCTTACACCTTTACATCAGGGATAATTTTGACTTTTGGGTTTTTATTGAGAACACCAGTCTGAATTATCTTTCCTGAGATTCCCATGGGTTTACTGAACTCGGGAATTGGTGGTAATTTTACATAGTACTAGAATTTAGAGTGGATGTGATTGGTGATTAAAAAGGGAAAGTTTTTAGTTGTACTAAACTGTATGTCCTGAGGGATCTAGTCCATATACATAAAAGATGTATAATTTATGGTGAGGACATGATAGACTTACCTTGCAGGTTTTCTCATCTAGTGTCCAAAAGATGAGAAGTCCCCTATTTTCAAATCTATGGAAAATCATTCCTAAGTCATATTTATAATAAAGTAAATGATACTTTGATTTAAATAAGTTTTATATGTGAAAATATCTAAATGGTCTATATGTCCAAAATAATGCCTTGAAGGATTTAAAGTATCTATGAGATTGGAATTGTAAAAGCTTTTAGAAAAAGCTTTGTGTTGGACCTGGTAACACACAAAGAAGTATGCAAACAAGCTGGGTATACCCAATATCAACATGTAATGACTTTGGAATATTTAAAAACAGAAAATTATCTCAGCCAGTGTGGCTCAGTGGTTGTGTCAACCCATGAACCAAGAGGTCACCAGTCAGTACCTAGTCAGGGCACATGCCCAGCCATGTTTTGGTCTCATTGATGATGTTTCTCATCAACATTTCTATTTATCCCTCTTCCTTCCTTTTTCTAAAATAACAGTAATAACATATTTAAAAAAAATAAAAATAGCAAAGTAGTTCAGAATAATCTAATATAGTAAATGTAACTATTATACAGAGAATTCAGAGTAAATGTAATTATACAGAGAATTCAGAGTAAAGGATGTTCCAGAAAAGCTCTCTGGGAAATTGGAATTTTCAGTGGGAAGGAAGATATAAGGTGGATAAATAGATGAAAGCATATTTTAAAGGATAGAGAAGGACGTGTAAAAAGACAGGTTATGAACGTTTTATAAGTGTCGTTTTACATATAGCTAACTCAACACTAAAACTTGTAAAGGGCCAGTGGTGAAGAGTCTATATAATAATTATATTAAAGGGAAAGAGAAAATATGACTGTCTCACACTATCCAGATTTTTAGTATTTGAATTTGGATATCTGGAGATCCAGAAAATCTTTTTGAGGATTCTCTTCCAATATATACTTTTGTCACTTGATATTTAAAGATTAGGAACCAAATTGATTTGGATAACTTGTTACCTAACAACTCACTTTCAGAGCTCAAGAACCTCATAAATTTGGATAGCGATATGTTATTCTTTTGTTCAGCACCAGGTCTATTAAACATTTAAGAAATGGTATCTGTCTAGAATCAAGAGAAAAGAATGTAAGTATAATGGAAATAAATTGTGGGCATTATTGGTATAGGATTTGAGACAGTATTATAATATACTTTATACCTGGCTGGCTCACTTATTACTTTCCAATGTATTTCATCAGGTTTTGATTATTGAAATGTTTTAGGGATCATGGTTTAATTCATATTTAAAAGCACCTAATGTTTTATCTACATGAAATGAGGTTTACTTGAATATATATATATATATATATATATATATATATATATATATATTTCATTGAAATTTCAATGTAATTTTAATACTAGATTTTAAAATTTATTTTTTAGGGAGTAAGCCCTGAACCAATTCATCTTAAGATTTTTTCACCCAATGTTGTCAATCTGACGCTTGTGGATTTGCCAGGAATGACGAAGGTAAAGAATAGTTGTTACTCATTGTGGACTGGGTCATGTTTGTTTTCACTTGAACAAATGTGTTTTTCTTTAACTCCATATGAGAATAACCAGCTTTTTTTTTTTTTTTAATCAACTTGATCTATTAGCAGCATTTGTTATAGTATATAGTTGAGCCCTTCTCCTTAAGAACACTCTTGACTTGGCTTCCAGGATACCACAGTCTACAGCCTTACTTCACAGGTCACTCCTTTAAGTCTCTTTTGCTGGTTTCTTGTCTCCCCAATGTGTAACTAGTGAGTGTCCCAGAGCTCAGTTTTTGGACCTCTTGTCAAGGGAGTACACTTAGCCTCTTGATGATTTCATCCAATATTATAGCTTTAAATACATTAATACCTATAAGCTGACAGTAATCAAGTATATCCAGACTTGTATATCCATCTCCAGAATTACATATTTAACTTTCTACTTAACATATACACTTTATAATCTAATAGGTTTTTTAATCTTGTGTTTAATACCAAATTCCTGACCCATTCCTCAATCTGACTTGATCCCTCTGTAATCTTCCTCATTTCAATGGATGGCAACTCTTTTTTTTAACAGTTGCTTAGCCAAAACGTATGTAGTAATCCTTAACACTCATCCCACACTGTACTTCCTATCAGCAAATCATCTTGGCTCTACTTTTAAAATATATCCAGAACTCTGTGTTACCATGTGTTACACATTCATAGCTACCATCCTGATCTAGTCCCTATCATCTCAGATTACTGAGATAGCCTCCTAGTAGGACTTCCTCATAATCTATTCTTAACCAAGCAGCCAGAGTGATGCTATTAAAGTGGAGGTTATATTGTGTCATTCCTTGGCTCAAGATCTCTCCGGTGGCTTCCAATTTCACTCAGAGTAAAGCCTAAGTTCTTAGAGATCTAAAGTGTCTATTTGATCTGTTCCTGTTACTCTACTCCTGACTCCTGCTCCAAACTTCTACCCTTTGTTCACACTGCTGGAATGTTCTTCCCTAGATACCTATATGTACCTCTCTTATCTCCTTCAGTTTCTGCTCTTTCTATCAAATGTCATTATCTGATTACTGTCTTCCCTGATTACTCTTATTTAAAAACACAATACAATTTAAGTATAACCTTGTTTAATCATTTTGTTCTGCTTTATTTCTTCCATAGCTCTATCCCTACCTAAATGTTATATTTGTTTTTTATTATCTGCTTTTCACCACTAAAATATAAGCTCTTTGAAGGCAGGAATTTTCATCTTTTATTTTATTTTATTCATGACTGATATAATCTGGTATGTTGAACAGTGTTTGAAATACAGTGGGCTGCCAATAAGTATTTGCTAATTGAAAGAATGAATTTGTCTTTAGGTAATTCACACTGACCAATCTTTAACATAGTAAACTTGATATTTGCAAGTTTCATTTTGAGACTTTAACATATTACCAAATTCATACATACCACTGTAGTATATAATTTCTTTTTAACTATCTGTTAATGGAGTAATTCCTATAACCTCTGGATTAAATAAATGGGGGGGAAAGCTGAGTCAGTTTTTATTACTAGCTTCTTGCTCATCTCTGTTTGGTTCAGGTGCCTGTAGGTGATCAACCTAAAGATATTGAGCTTCAAATCAGAGAGCTCATTCTTCGATTCATCAGTAATCCAAATTCCATTATCCTCGCTGTCACTGCTGCTAATACAGATATGGCAACATCAGAGGCACTTAAAATTTCAAGAGAGGTAGATCCAGATGGTAAGGACAGATGTTAATATTTATTGAAATGCTCGGTTAACAGTGGTAAATCTATTTACTTTCAAGAAAGAACTTTTTATTTTTAAAAGGAATAGCTCTAGCTGCTAATACAGAATTTTTAAAAAAATGCTTTCCTATTTTGTTTATAGTTTCTGATAGAAATTCTGATGGAAAATATGTTTTGCTGGATAAATTGCCGTATAAGCTAGGCAAAAATACTTCACCATATGTCCATATTTATAAATAGTTACCTAATGACTTAAAAAATAATAAGATGGTTTTGCAAAAAGAGTTTCTTGTTTTGTGTAAATAAAATGACGGTTTTTGAATAGCTGACTTCTAAGAATAATTAATTCTCATAGTAGATAATTGTTGTAGATTATTATATTTTAGTAGATATTATGATATCTCCATTCTTCAGTGGTACAAAACATTTAGATGTGCTCAAGGAAAGGGGGATTCTTAAAAATAAAGGTAAAATTCTTTTATGAAGCATTCATATCCCCAAGGCTTAGTTTGTCCTGGAGGTCAATATATGCACTTCACTAATGCTTTAGTATGCATTGCTTAGTATATATAAAATGCCCCTTGCAAGAATATAGTTATTATTACTGTTAATAAATACTGTACATGGTTTGCTTCATACAAGAGACTTTTTTACTTGAGTATTTGGAGGATCAGTGGGCTCTGCCGTGTTTCCTTTTTTCCTTCTCTGAAGAATTTCAAATAAAAATTGGATAAGAAATGTTAGTGCTAAGACTATCAATTAAAATTCCCATAAACAGGGTTATTAGATTTTTTTTCATTTCATGTTTTTAAGAAACTTATTTACTTATATGAGTAGTTAATATTCAGTTCAGATTAAAAGATAAAACTATCCCAAGAGATTTAAGTTTTATTTATAGTAAACAGTTAAGCATTTTATATGCATTAATTCTAATTTAAACAGAACTTGAGTCATAAATATAAAAAATGAAATCTGCAGTTCCACTTTTAGGTAATTACCCATGTTTAATGAAAACTCATGTTCATATAAAAAACCTGTTTGCAAATATTTATAGGAGTTTTGTTTGTAATTTTCTAAAACTGGAAACAACTCAGATGTTTCTCAAATGAAGAAAGAATAATCAAACCATAGTATAGTATATCCATATAGTACATTCATCAATAAAAGATGATGAACAATTGATATATGCAACAACATGGATGATCCCAGATGCATTACGCCAAGTGAAAAGAAGCCAGATTCAAAAGGTTATGTATATGATTCCATTTATATGACATTCTGGAAAAGGCAAAAACTAGGATGAAAAATGGATTTGATTGGGTAGTACAAGGAAAATTTGGGGGTACTGGAACTGTTTATCTTTTGAGATGGCAGTGATGTAATTCTGCATTTGTCAAAACTCAGGGAATTGGCCCTAATTGGTTTGGCTAATTAGGATAGAGCATTGGCCTGTGGACCAAAGGATCCCGGGTTCTATTCCTGTCAAGGGCACCAACCTTGGTTGGGTTGCAGGCTCCTCCCTGGCCTGGGCCCTGTTCAGGGAGTGTGCAGGAGGCAACCAATTGTTGCCTCTCATATAGATCTTTCCATCTCTTTCACTCTTTCTAAAAATCAAGGAAAAATATCCTCAGGTGAAGATTAAAAACAAAACAAACTCATAGAATTGTACACCAGCAATGTATGAATTTTAAACAAATATTAAAATGCTTATTAAAAAGTTAATCCTGAGAGCGAAATATTTTTATGTGAAATTAAAAAAATTAGACATGATTAAAATTAGATTTAAAAGAATTTGTAAGCAAAGATTAGAAAAGCATCATCAAAATGATGACAAGAGGTAATGTTCAGTGGGATTATAGATGGTGATTTTCTTGATTAATTCTTAAAAGTTTTATTTAATGGGTCTTTTTCTTATCTTTTCTTTTTTGCATTTACCAGGTCGCAGAACTCTGGCTGTAATCACTAAACTTGATCTCATGGATGCGGGTACTGATGCCATGGATGTATTAATGGGAAGGGTTATACCAGTCAAACTTGGAATAATTGGAGTAGTTAACAGGTTAGCAATCAAACGTGGGATAAGAATTGCAGCATCCTCATCTCAGAGCAAATCTGAATTTTTAAAATCAGTCTGACATGTGACGGTGCCCCTTTTTCCTTTTTTTTTTTTTAAACTATAATCTTGTTTTTGCTAAAGAATGAATTGCTTTAATATATTTTATTGATTTTCCACAGAGAGGAAGGGAGAGGGATAGAGAGCTAGAAACATCGATGAGAGAGAAACATCGACCAGCTGCCTCCTGCACACCCCTACCAGGATGTGCCCACAACCAAGGTACATGCCCTTGACCGGAATCGAACCTGGGACCCTTCAGTCCCTAGACTGATACTCTTATCCACTGAGCCAAACCGGTTTCGGCTAAAGAATGCACTGCTTTAAAGGGAAAAAAGAAATTCATGAAAGCCTTCTGCAGACAAAAGGTTTCAAACTAAGCAGTGCCACAAAATGGAAGGAAATTTAATAGCTAGGCTTGAAATACTCCAGCCTATTATGTATGAAGAGAGGCATTGGATAAGAGGCAAAAAAGTATTATATCCAGAAATACCCAATCCAGAAGGAATTTTTAAGGTGGTAGCATTTTAATATATTGGTTTGACCCCTAACAGTAGTGATTCTATGTAATTGCCATGATGTGACAGAAATTTTATTAAATGTATCCTAATCACAAATTGCTGGTATTAAAAATTGTGGAAAGGGTGTCTAATTATATTTTAGATACTCAACTGTGATCAGTTTGCAAATGCTATCGCTTTGAACCCTTCCTTACAACAGCCTGTGGTAGGAGTTGATGTCTATTTTATAATCAGAAAACTCAATACCAAAGCCACATGGCGGTGAAAGCAGAGCCAGATTCAAGTGAAGATCCCTCTTAACTCAAAGCACTGAAATTATCATATATTGTCCACAGAGTAGATATAGCATGGGTTTAAATGACACCTAACATCTTTGGGTCTCAGACCTTTTAAAATTAAAATGTTTTCAGTAAGTGATAACTAAGATCCTTTACAGTCTGCTTCTATTCATATGTACCACCTCACCCCTACTCCAACTTTCTTTTTTAACTCTCAACAATTTCTCTTTTCAGGGTTTCACACTGTGCAGGTGGTATCACACTGCTGTATTTGTAGGTGACTGCTGTTCAAGTTAATTATTTTTTCATAGAAATTAGTTGCCTAATGGGTAAAATATACAGTTGATTAAGACATTTTTTCACCTGTTTTTCCCTTTAACTTAAGAGTACTGCTTTTGACTGTAGTTAAATGAAATGAGGAGGCCTAAACTATTTAGGCTTTACTTATAAGTCACATGGTTTGAACCTTGGCTGAACTATTTAATATGTGACCTTTGGTAAGTTGGTTAATCTTCCTGAGCTTCAGTTCCTTTGTGGATACCACCACACAGAATTATTGTGAGAATTAAACAATCCATGTCAGGCATTATGAACAATGCCTGGTGCTGCTCTATCATAACCTTTACCTTCCAAGGTACATAGAGGACCACAGTTGACTTCATCTAAATAGTTTTATTATTTTTCAACCTTAGGAGTCAATTAGATATTAACAATAAGAAGAGTGTGACCGATTCAATCCGTGATGAATATGCTTTCCTTCAAAAGAAGTATCCTTCTCTGGCTAACAGAAATGGAACAAAGTATCTTGCTAGGACTTTAAACAGGTAATGTTTTTACCTCTTGGAAAATGAGATGTTTTTCACTTGCCACCAGGTGTCTGAGACCTTTCATTTTCAGTTTCTTATATTTTCATAATGTTCTTGCATGTACAACTTAACTTCCTGTTTCTTGTACAGTAGGTTCTTGTAATGTAGATGTCTTTTTATTGGGGTGGTTGGCATTAAATCATATAGTCTAGGAATGCTAACGTGACTTTTGAAGTGTCTGAATTATGAAATTCTTGACAATTTACTTTTGGTGATAGAACTAGATGACTTCCAATTCCACTTTTAACTTCAAGAATTGAATTAAAATGTATAATTTTCATATAACCTATTCTTTAGCATATCTTTTAGTTCTATTCAGTAAAAATAACTTAAGCTATATACCTTAAATTCTGAATGCCCTCAGAGGGTAGAGGGATTGGAACACCTTTCTAAATAGTAGTCTAAGATTGCATCATTTCCTGACAAGACAAATTGACAGGTTTCCCCATTATTTGCATTTAAAAATATTTTTTAATTCTCAAAATCCTCACTTGAAGGGGATATGTTTATTGATTTTGAGAGAGAGAAACATTGATGTGAGAGAAATATCAATGGTTGCCTCCCTTATGTGCCCCAGTCTGGGATTAAACACGCAACCTGACTACGTGTCCTGACTGGGAATCAAACCTGTTATCATTTGGTGTACGGGATGATGCTCCAGGCAACTGAGCCACACCAAACAGGTCTCCATTATTTGCATTTGTAAATTTGGACCTGCATGGGTCTTCAAAATACAGTTTTGCCTTAACATCCTTCCTTTTTAACCTTCATTAGGTTACTAATGCATCACATCAGAGATTGCTTACCAGAGTTGAAGACAAGAATAAATGTTTTAGCTGCTCAGTATCAGTCTCTTCTAAATAGCTATGGTGAACCTGTAGATGACAAAAGTGCTACTTTACTCCAGCTTATTACCAAATTTGCCACGGAATATTGTAATACTATTGAAGGAACTGCAAAATACATCGAAACTTCAGAGCTGTAAGTAAGAAATTTCTCTATCAATTTGGCTGTTGGATTGATAGGCTACTTTATCTTCTGTTACAGTAACAAGGTACTATGAGATTGACAATGATTTTTTACCTGTAAAATAGGAATATCAGTTTGTAGAAATGATAGGATTCTTTCTGATGTGTGTTAAAATTCTTTATAAATTATGTACATAAAACAGTAAAAATTTGTTGTTTGTTTTATAAGACATTTAAGAATATTTAATAATTCACCTTTTAAAATACTTGTTTCTTTGATATGCACTGCAGAACTGTTCATGAAAAAATAAGAAAATGTAGATATGAAAAAAGAATAAAGCATAAAGTCAAAATTAATTTTAATCCCACCATTCAGAAATAATCCCTGCTGATTTTGGCATCAACCTAGGCACTTCTCTATGCATCTGTAAAACATAAATATGTTTGTATTATATAAATATCTTTAAAAATAAGATGCTATATATGCTATTTTGGAGTTCCTTTAAATCAACATGTCATTATTATACATTTGTATGATCAATCTTAGGATTTATACAGTTTGTTATTTTTAAAATATCATTTGTTGAACCATATGATTGATAGTTTGTTTTCAGTTACATACAAATATAAAAAATGTGACTGTCTATGGGGCAAGTATCTAAGTGTACCCTTAGGATAAATTCCTAGAAGTAGATAAAGGGTATCCTCAGAGTCTCTTCTTATTACCATACTATTAATCGATTTATTGTTTTATTATTAGCAGTATATAAGAATCTCCATTTCTATAAACTCTTTAAAAAAACTAGTTTTGAAATAATTACAGCCTTCGGGAAAGTTGTAAGTGAATACATAGGGAGGCCCTATTCATCTTCACCCTATCTCCCCCAGTGTTGCCATCTTGCATAACTGTAGCATATTGAATAGTTAGTATATATATGGAGGGAAATAAAGATTATTAAAATGAGCCTTTTAAAGTTTTGTAAGGCATGTCAAGATAACATGAGACTTAATTAGATGACAAATAGGAGTCTAACAATTATTTTTATTTATATACTTATTAAATAGAATACATACCCAAAAATACATATAATATACATGGAGTTTTATAAGTAGTTAATAAAGAAAATACCTTTGTAATCACCTAATCAAGTCTTTAGAACACTGAAGAGAGACCATTTACATTTCTTTCAGGGATTGAGAGAGCTCCCTCCTTAAGAATGCATTTGGGTGGTGCTCTGAATAGAATTTGGGAAGGCAGTAGGTAGAAGGGTGCTTTAGGCTTTGGAACAGTAAAGAATAATCCAGGATATATTTGGAGAATGGCATGTACAGTGATGGGACATAACAGTAGGTAAGACTTGACAGGTACCTAAGAATAATAATGTGGAAAGAATTTTTAGTCAGAGGGCTGTTTTAGAAGGATATTTCTGGTCATTATGAAAATTATGTGGAGAGGGAAAGGTTGGAAGCAGAAAGACCAATTACTGATAATTTTAACCATTTTCAGTGCCATTAGTTACATTCAAAATAATATGCAGCCATCAAAAAGTATTTCCAAAATGTTTCACCTCCCCAACAGAAACACTGTTATCCATTTAAGTAATATATCCTTGCTCCTCTCTCCCCCAGCTCCTGATAACCTTTAACTTACTTTGCCTCTTTAAATATGCCTATTCTTGATCTTTCATATCAGGGGAATCATATAACATTTGTCCTTCTGTGTCTGGCTTATTTTATTTAGCATGTCAGGCTTTTGCGTGGACGACTGTCAGGAAATAGTGAACAGTGATGGTGAAAATAGAAAGGGGTGCTTTGGGGAGACATAAAGACATCTGCGGAATTTAACTGGACTTGAAAAAAACAAAAAAGAATACTAGGGGTTCTAGTCATTAAAATAAGAAACACAGCATGCCTAGTACATAGGCCCAGGATTTAATTTGTTTAAAGTAGGTGTAGGTAAATTACAGCAGCAGTCGCCAACTGGTGGTCTGTGAGGTCCGAAAGGCTGGCGATCGCTGACCTATAGCCCAGTGGTTCAAAATGATTTCTGAGTTTTTAAATGGTTGGAAAAAAATTTTAAACAAGGAAAATTGAAATTTTAGTGTGTCTGTTTTATTGGAACACAGCTGCTTATGTTTACATATTTTCTATAGCTGCTTTTGTGCTCAGTAGCAGAGTTGAGTAGGTGTGACAGACAATTATGGCCTGAAAAGCCTAAAATATTTATTATCTGGTACTTTATAGAAAAAATTTGCCGAACTCGACTCTGGATTGTGAATAAACAGAATGAAGTAATATACTGTTTCTTGTCCTTAAAGAGTGCTCATAATCTAGTTGAAGAAAACTAGGGCAGAGAAAAGATGTTTAATAGTTATCAGAACTGGTGTTTCCTGACAGAACAGCGTGTGTGTGTGTGTGTGTGTGTGTGTGTGTGTGTGTGTGTGAATGCCTTCCATGATATGACTCCTTTACCATAAAAAACCCATAGAAACTGGTTCACAATGGAGTTGAGGACACATGGAAATAACAATGGTCTAAATGTAATTGTTTCTCTGAGACTTTCTCAAAAGATGAGTCAAGCTTAAAGCTTAGAGAAAGATTTCTAACTTGCTGCTTCTTTCCCTTTTAGTAATACTAGAAACCATAGAGTTCATTGTCATTGCCTTTCAGGTGCGGTGGTGCTAGAATCTGTTACATTTTCCATGAGACTTTTGGGAGAACTTTAGAATCTGTTGACCCACTAGGTGGCCTTAACACTATTGACATATTGACTGCTATTAGAAATGCTACTGTGAGTATGTTTAACTCAGAATTTTTTGAAATAAGGTTAAACTTTTTTTTTTTTAAACCATATTGTACAGCATATTATGCTCTTTTAGATGTAATTACATGAAAAATACCAAAATGTGATTCATTTTAACCTTTGGGAAGAACTTAAATGATATGTAGCGATAAGAGCTTGAAGTTTAATTTTTTTAGGGTCCTCGTCCAGCTTTGTTCGTGCCTGAAGTTTCATTTGAGTTACTGGTCAAGCGGCAGATCAAACGCCTGGAAGAGCCGAGCCTCCGCTGTGTGGAGCTGGTTCATGAGGAAATGCAGAGGATCATTCAGCACTGCAGCAATTACAGTACCCAGGTGACTGGGAAACGGACCGGGGCAGCGTCAGCAGTAAAAGACATGCGAGCGGTTTCAGGGTGGAAGGAAATGTATAAATAAGATGGGCTATAAGTTAAAATATGCAGTTCCCGTCTCTAAAAGTGGCTTGAAATCGTATATTTAAATGTAGCTTCCAAATCTAACTCACTATTTCAGTGGTTATTTTATTTCCTTTAAACAAAAGAGACAATTACATTTTTCCTTCTTCTACCATCCATAGGAGCTGTTGCGGTTTCCTAAACTTCATGATGCCATAGTTGAAGTAGTGACTTGTCTTCTTCGTAAACGGTTGCCAGTCACAAATGAAATGGTGAGCTATTATTTCACAAACCATCACTGTAGTTACTGTTAATGAAAATGTGTTTGTATAGCATTATGATTAGAGATTAGGCGTAATGTTTCCCAGTGTATTGTGAAGGGGCAAATAAAGTGGATTTCAGTCTTATTTCAAAGGAAATTTCAATAATTCTGATACAAAGTGTATTTTTCTTCATATTTTAATTGTTAGTTTGCAGCCACAGGTTTTCATGTCAAGTGAATTATTGAGGTTTCTGAATAGTTTTGTTATGTTGAACACTGATATAATAGAAAGTTTTATCTGAGCTTTTATAGCAAGCTCTTATTTTAACTGATTTGTCCACTAATACAGTTTGCTTGTTTAATGGCCTAACACTTTATAAATTTCATGGTTGCTTGCTTCAGTTTTGTGTGTTGCTGCTTATCGTTTAAAATGAAAATTCTGAAATTCATAGAAAAACGAATGAAAAACAAACAACAAAAATGTGAAATTGCCCTTGGACTGGGTTTGTTTTTGTTTTCTTTTCTGATTACTAAAAGTGCATTAGGGTCCTCTTGGCTGAGGATGGCAAGCCCTGAAGGAGGTTCACTGAGGACAAAAGCATCCTTGGAGATAGAAAACGTTAGTGTTGCTAATTTTCTCCGAGCAAGCATGACCCCAGGTGATCTCAAACTACCCACTCATGTCACAGAATCATTGGAATTTCATTTGAATAGATCCCTTTCACCCGGTTCCTGACCTTTTAGTGCTGTTCTGATACCTGACATTTGTCAGGACCGTGCAGAATGAGTTACTTTAATCTCTCTGCAGTACTGAGGTTAAATTATCTTCAACCTTTCTTTTTGATTGTCCCACTAGAATTTTGAACCCCATGTAATTTATAATATTTAAATTAGGTGTTTCACAATTAAGATTAATTCATTATTACCTCAGGTCTTTAAATGTATTCTTCACCATGAAGTTCTTATCTTTATATCTGGTTATGAAATGTTTTCTTAATGATGAACCTGACCTAGAACTTTGACTTGGGATAGTGAACAATCTGAGGTTTTAATACCACACTTCATTAAGCTTTGGAACTTAGATTTGCATAAGGTAGATAACATTTTCCCCTAACAAAATACTTCTCACTACCTTAATCCCCCCCCCCAGAAATGCAATCTCAGATGCTGAAATAGAAATAATTCAAAAGATAGAGCAATTATTTGCTGGCATAAGATTTACCAGTTTGGGTATAATTCTCAGATACTTATTTAGGCATCAGTTTCCTATAAGTTTTTTTAGAATTATCTGTTTAATAAATTGTATATATGTAGTTTTTAAAAATAAGTTGGCATATTTTTGTATATAGCCTAATTTTATTTTTTTCTAGGTCCATAATTTAGTGGCAATTGAATTGGCTTATATCAACACAAAACATCCAGATTTTGCTGATGCTTGTGGGCTAATGAACAATAATATAGAGGTAAATACAATTCAAATGATCATTTTTGAGGGGAAAAAATCTTAACTCAGTTATATCAAATATATCGAGCATAGGGTAACTATAAAATATACCTGTACCATATTATTGTCTGTTATATTCTAAACAGTATACCAAGGGTATTATATTCTTAATTTAATTCTCAAAGCCACCTGCAGGCATTATTCACATTTTCTGCTTATGAAACTGTAACTCCGAGAATCTGAGTTTCATTGATTTCGTGTTGAAGAACTGCCTGGCTCCACTTCGTTAACTGTTGTTGCAGTTTATTCAGGTTGAAGTGCGTGAAACAAAGTGAATGTTTAAAATTGCTTTCATTTGGCTCTGAAAGCTGTAAAAGAAACATTCCAAGATTTACTACATTTTAGTAGGTTTGGAAAAGCAGAGCACTCTTTTCACTGGGATGGCACTTCATGGATTTTTTTTTCCATTTGAGGTTAATGTAGCAATTACCTAAGATCTCAGATGGAGCCAAGGCTGGTGGATAACCTAACATCAAATGGGCAACAGATCGGATGCTATTTTTCTCTGCCACTTTTACCCAAGAACAGTAAATTTTTCTGCTATTCTTAATACAGGAGGACCTCACAGTTCCTTTCTGAAACAAGTGTCCTCTATGTATATGGATGAAAAGAATTTAATAAATGTGGAATTTGGGAAATAGGGGGGTGAGCCTGGGTTATGACTTCAACCCTTTGGTTAAACTAACAGATGAGGAACCTGAGAGCCACAGATGTAACAGCGGTTGCTTTAGTGCCTACTTTGCTGGCGCTGTTGGAGGAAACAAGCAACTCCTCTTTAACAGGTACAGGGAGCTGTTTGTTAGCCACTGAGCTGAAGTGACTCCTGCTGTCAGAAAAACTCTAAAGTGCACCTGAGTTAGGCCTTTAAGTTAAACACTGGGAAAGAAAACTAGCTAATAGTTATGTTAAAATTAGCATGTAGACACCATGTTAGGCTAAGGATTTATTGTAGCATTGAAACTTCATGTAAAATTGTGTCTGGAAGTTTTTGTAATTCAGATACGGTAATTTATGATATGATTTCATTCTGATCAGTATTTTTCTACAAGTGAGTATATCTCTGGTTTTAATGACTTTGCACCGAAGAATTAATATGACTATACTCTCCATAAGAGTAGATCATTGGTGACCTGTGCAGTTATTAAAAAAGCAAGGAAGCCATGGCTGTTGGGCTATAGGCCAGCAAAGGTCTTAACTTCTTGGTAACAGACTAGGGTGAGAATTTCTGGTCATTGGATTTCCATGCCTTTTGCTTTGTGTCCCTCTTCAAAATGTCCATTTTAACGTGTTAATCACCCCTCATGGGGGGGAAAAAAGGAAATGATTAAATTTCAGTCAGAAAATTTTATTAGCCATAAAACATAATTGTGAAGCTTTAATAATTTAAAAATTTTTGCAAGCTTGAGAGTATTCATGAAATGCTTTCTATTTAGCAACAATTTTTACTAATGCTTTCCTGTTATATTTGATGCTGCCTGTGAGAGTTATTAATACCCACATCCTTATATATTTTCAGTCTTGCACCTATCATGGTGCTTGACAGATAGGTGTTTATTCAGTACCTATTGATTTGAATGTAACAGAGTTTCTTTAGCTACTTGTACTAGAATTACTTTGATATTAGCAAACTAGAAGAGTGGGCAGTTAATCTGTTAAATCAGCCAGGTTACCGGAAGGACAATTTTCAACACATTTATATTCTGGAGAAGGGTGCAGTGGTTGGCAAACTGCGGCTCGCGAGCCACATGCAGCTAGTGCTGTGGCCCCTTGAGTGTGGCTCTTCCACAAAATACTATGGTCTGGGCGTGTCTATTTTGAAGAAGTGGCGTTAGAAGAAGTTTAAGTAAAAAATTTGGCTCTCAAAAGAAAATTTCAGTTGTTGTAATGTTGATATTTAGCTGTTGACTAGTGAATTTGCCAACCACTGGGTTAGGGTAAAGAAAATGAACCATTCTTAAAGTAAAACCTTCACCACAGATACTTCTAAAACATACGGTTTTGTGTGTGGGAGTTATAGGCAAATAACACAAATGTTATATTTTATGAGATTCAATCCATGGCCCCTCATTTTAGAATCCCCAGTAAAGGGGAGCCGCTGTTACTGATAATTGTATTGTGTCCCTCAGGTGTTGGGGGAAGGGAAAAATAAATAAAAAATAAAAAAAATATTGGGTTAAATGATTTGTTTTAAAATGTAATTATGGCACGAGTTCCAACAGTGAGAGGATATACTGTAAGTTATTCCTCACTTTTCAGTTAAGCTGACCATTTTTTAGTTGGCTTATATCTCAGTACTCTAGTAATCACTTTTTGTTTTGTTTGTGTTTTATAGGAACAAAGGAGAAACAGGCTAGCCAGAGAATTGCCTTCAACTGTATCGCGAGATAAGGTAAAAACAATTTTTAAAGCTTAGTCCTACTCCTTGGAGTAATTTTTTTTTCTCCCTTTAATATTCCATTGGCCTTTTCATTCTTTGAGTATATGTATACAAGTTTAAAAAGGCTTTGAACAATTTAAAGAGAATGGTATTTTTACAGAGAACTGGTTTTTGGTTGCCTGAGGGGATGGGGTTGTGGAGTTGGGTGAAAAGGTGAGGGACTGAGAGGCACAGATCGTTATGGGAATGTAAAGTACAGCGTAGGTATATAGCTAATAATATTGTAATAACTGTATGGTGCTGGGCAGGTACTGGAAATATTGGGGAACTCATACTTTACAATGCTGCACACCTGAAACTATTACAAGGTAATACTGAGTGTAAACTGTGATTAAAAAATAAAATTTTAAGATTAAACATTTTAAATCAGAAAGGTGGATTTTAAGTGTCTAGCCTTTTTTTTTTTTTTTTTTAATTCACATAGACTTCATCAACTTTGTAAAATTAGTTGAAATGACTGATGACTTCGTTGTAATAGGAAGGCTTTTTGGAGAGGGAGACAACAATATCACATAACAGCTGCATGTTTACAAACCCGAATTCTTTACCAGAAAAAATGAAATTTTTAGATTTGGACTTTCCTTAGGTATGCATCTGAAAAAAAGCCTTTAACAAAGGTGACATTAGTACAAGAAATAAGGCAGAATAAACATTAATTTTATGTCCCATGATTACTTTTGTTTTTCATGTTTATTATTTTGGTCAGAGGGACTCACATTTACAGAATGTTTCTGAGTGCACTTTGGCATCCTTGATTTTTCCCTGCTTTTTTTGCCTTTAGTCTTCTAAAGTTCCAAGTGCTTTGGCACCTGCCTCCCAGGAGCCCTCCCCTGCTGCTTCTGCTGAGGCTGATGGCAAGGTCTGTTCTGATTCTTAGTCTAAGCCTGCATGCATAGTTGTTTGGTTCCACATATTCATCTGGAAACAGTACACTGAAAAACAGAATATTAATATGGGCTACATATAACAATGTATATTTATAAAACGCTTTTGCTTGCAATATAGAAAATGCATAGAGAAAGAAGTTAGAAGAAATTTTCTGCTTTGACTTTCAAGCCATTGATAATGAAATTTTGCTTGTTAAACTGCATGTTTTAACATATCTTTTAACAGTTAATTCAGGACAGCAGAAGAGAAACTAAAAATGTGAGTCTTGCTTCAGAATGGCAATGTTGATTCTCACTGAAACACTGTTTCAAAACCAGTGAAGAACCTGTCTGTACAGTGGCATCTAACTTGTCTGTGTTATGTCTTTAATGTTGCTTTTATCTAACCCCTTTAAGATGGCTATCTAACTAACCCCTTTAAGATGGCATCAATTCTAGTTTTATATAATAAAAATAGGCTTTCCCACTGTTTTCTGTTACCTTTGAGAATAGTTTTGAATTTAATATTCTGGTTAGGAATTAAGATTCCAGAGATGGAAATTGTGCTTTTGGATATTTCTGAGATCTGTCCAGTACTAATGGGCAAGCCTCTCATGCTTCCTTCTTATGCTTCTATTCAGTTTGCACTTGTCACCCTATATATGTAGCTTAACATAAGCCTCAACAGCGTTAGCACATTAATACAAATGGGGACTTTGAGAGTTTTTGAGACTTGTTAATTCTTGATAACCTTTTTAAGGGAAAATTATTACGTAAACTGTAAATTTCAGGACCATTCATCTGGTTATTCTGCCACTTGGCTCCTTTCTTTATTGTCCAGATTTAAGGTTCTGAACTTCAAATAAAACCCACTATGCTCAGACCTTAAGAGAACCATCTAACATATAAGTCACTGCTTTGTTATTTCTCTCATGGCATCACCCTGAATTTGCTTACTTAAGATTTTGTTATACCATTCATGTATAGTCTAATAGACATTTTAAAATTAATGTGTAAATATACTGCCTATATTTAGATAAAGCTCATCTTAATAGGTAAATTTGGGTCAGAATAATACCCAAAACTGACTTTCTGTTGTTTATATAAGCCATTTTAATTTCTATCTATAAATTTTGGTTGTCATTTTAGAGTCTTAGATCTTAAAGAGCATCTCTCTCTTAAATTTTGATGAATTACTATTTTTTTCATTTTCCTAGTCATTTCTATTTAAGAAATAAAGGTGAAAAACAGTTGTGATTAATGATAGCACTGGATTTCTTTCAGCAGATCCTTTCTCAAGGATATAGATGTTAAGGGAACCTATGTGTGCCACATTTTAGGCAGCTTAAAGTCACTAAGAATCATGGGTATATTCTTGTTTCATTAAAAAAGTCTCTACTTTTAACTTACATTTTGACTATATTTAAAACTTTTGCAGAAATCATAGTTCAACAGTGTTTAGGTTATGTTGCAGAAATTAAGCTGAGTGGTAGTTCTGTTTTTCCTTGTGCTTTTAATAAGCAGTCTTGTTTTTAGGGGCATCTTATACTTTTTTTCTACAATCTAGTGTAAGAGGGTTTGGGGGGGAAAAGGTCAGACATGCCATCCCATCTTTCTGACCTGTTATACACCTCCAGCTGGATACCGGATGTGTGTTCGCCTTGATTGCTGTCAAAGAAAATGAACTTTGTTTAGTTATGGTTAGAACTAATATGGTTGGTAGAGATTTTGGAGCATATGGTGTGTGCGTTTTTTAATTTTTTTTATTTTAGGTTTTATCTGGAAGTGGTGGGGTTGGAGATGCTGTTCAAGAACCAACAACAGGCAACTGGAGAGGAATGTTGAAAACTTCAAAAGCTGAAGAGTTATTAGCTGAAGAAAAATCAAAACCAATTCCAATTATGCCAGCTAGTCCCCAAAAAGGCCATGCGGTGAACCTGCTGGATGTGGTAAGCCATGACAATTTGGTTGAGGACTAATAAGATCAAAAAGAACTAAAAGCCTCAAAAACTCAATGGATTTTGAATGCCAAACATTACCATTTCAAAATGACACAAAAGTAGTATTTTTCCCCCCTCATCTCATTTAGCCGGTTCCTGTTGCACGCAAACTTTCTGCCCGCGAGCAACGAGATTGTGAAGTTATTGAACGACTCATCAAATCTTACTTCCTTATTGTCAGAAAGAATATTCAAGACAGGTTAGTAATACATGATGTGAATCAGATTGCTGGATGATTTTGATCTGTTTTGAAAATTCATGCATTAAAAAAATTTTTTATTCTAAATCAAATGGGTCATCTTGTTTGTTTTGCAGCGTGCCAAAGGCAGTAATGCATTTTTTGGTTAATCATGTGAAAGATACTCTTCAGAGTGAGCTAGTAGGGCAGCTGTATAAATCATCCTTATTGGATGATCTTCTGACCGAATCTGAGGACATGGCGCAGCGTAGGAAAGAAGCAGCTGATATGCTAAAGGTATTCCTGTGGCTTTATTTAAACTTCTGTTTAAAATGCATTCTGATTCTTGAGTACAACTGTGGTCTTCATATGATGGTAATTGAATTGATTAGAGTCCAGACAGATACTAGTTAGTATAAATCAACCACACAATAGAGATTACCTACATAATTCAGGTTCTTTGCTATTACAAATGTGAATTTATAATTTTTTTAATCTTCTTTAATGCAGGCATTACAAGGAGCAGGTCAAATTATTGCTGAAATCAGAGAGACTCATCTTTGGTGAAGAGAACTACATAATACTGAGACTTTTGACTCAGAAATTACTGCCTATTTTATTTATGAACTTCTGTGTATTGCAATGGTATGAACTGCTCATATGAAGACTGGCTATCCACTGAAACTGTACTCTGTATTACAGAATGAAATCACACACTTAACCCAAATAAATGGCTGTTTCTAAAGTTTCCCAGTATATATAAAGTACATCAAGTCTTTCTTGTGATAGTTTCATTTGAACGTAAAAAGAAATGCTAATGTTCTCATTGTACAAGCAGCTTACCTGTGTAATCTGTTAGTAGTCTTAAACCTGCTGCCATAGTTCTTCAAAAAGAACGCACCAAGACATTTCATACGACTGTATTGCATGCATTATATAAGATGATCTGGCTTTGAAAGATGAGGGTTGACAAGTTACTCATAGTCACTGTATTACACCTGTCCTTATTAGTTCTATCTCTGCAACCTTTGATGTGTTAGAGTTGGATGCACAGAGGATCTGTAACAATGACGGTGTGCAAAACGTATAGCCACAGAGCCCTTCCACCTCTGGTCCACATTGCCCCAGTGCATTAAAGTATCGATTCTTCTTAAACCTAGAAGCATGAACTACATGTTCCCGTATTAAAGACACCACCTAGGCTTGATGATAGAGTGAGACTTGGTGATGACCAGATCCTTTTGGTTTTTAGGGTTCGAAAAAAAATTCAGATCTTAAAATTGTGGCACTTAGCACCATGCTCTTACTTGGAGGTGGGACTTAAAACCAGTAAATATCAGATGATAATCGTTACTTTTGCCTCACACCAGCAAAATTAGAATAGAGGTGTGAAAATATGGTGGAGCCTTATTTAAAAAAAACCATGCTGACACATACATGCCTAATGGCTTATCGACAGCTAATTAGCATTCAGGAGCTTGGGTGTGAGGTTTAGAACATTTTACTAAAATTCCTCAGGTGACTTTTGATATGAATTACATTAGAACTATTAATGTTCAAAATTCTTAAAGGCATCTAGCAGATACTAAAATTTCTTTTTGTTATAGTATTTATGAAGGACTATTGGCAATATGAATATATCTGTTAAATAACAGGCTCACCAATTTATCTCAAACATTAAAAAAAAACAAAACATCCAGATTCAGAACTGGTTAGAATACATGGTACCAAAACGTTTGTTAGTGCACTTTAAAGTCATCCGGCCATCTTTAAACATTAGCTTTGAATTATACCCATCCATGATATACTTTAAACAGATAACTACTGTTTTAGCCTCCTTTTTCCCCCCTTTATAAATTCAAAAAACCCTTCTAATGCATCTTTCTCCAGTATATCAAAAAGATTTCCAATTAAAAATGTTCCCTATCAAGACATGCTATGGTAATGCACTTTCTAGTACTACATATCTTGTACAAAGAAAAACAGGCAAGAAAGGTGTGGCAAGAGAAAACAAAACCTTTGTTGGTTCTAAACTGGGTGAAGTTCTGAAATGTGGAGATGATCTATGACATTTATAATGGATACATGTATGTTCTTGCTGTGTAAATAAAATTGCTGATATGAAATGACATTAAAGTTTATCAATAAATGAATTCTTCCTCACTTTACTCCCAGAAAAAGGTCTAAACTCTAGTTTTTTAACTTATAAATCTAATGCAGTGTAGAATGTATTAGTAGATTCTAACAATTCACTGAAGAATTATTACATATAATTCCATTTTTGCCTATAAAGACAGTGACTTGCTCTAAGTAATCCAGGTAGCAAATGCTAAAACTTGAACATTAAAGCCACTCCTGGCTGCCTATGGTTTTCTAGAGTAAATATATAATAGTTATGAACCATTCTGTATATTTGTGCCTTTCACTTGATCCTCAGGGAAATGGATTTGTCATATGTGGAAATTTAAGTTGTCTTGATAGGAAATCTTAAATTTGACCTGAAAAACTTCCATTACCTGAGTCTCTTTTGATACTCTCAAATAATTGGATAGTTGGTATAATATTTGCCTCTTTTACTTCTTTGGTTACTTAAGTTTTCAATTCATCTCAAGTTGTAATCTGGTCAGGGACAGAAGTTGAAACTTAAAACCTAATTTAAGTTCTTAAATTTATAAAACATTGCTACCTTAGTAGTTTGACAAAATAAGGCGGCGAGTAAAAGTTCCACTGAAACACAGGTAAGGGAATGGAAAATAATGAGAAACTTTCTGATTTTTAATCTTTGAAAATAAACTTTCTATTTTTCTAGTGCCAGTTATGGCTAATTTTTCCCTTTTTCAAGAAGAACTATATTTGGTTTCTAAACAACAAAAAGCAGTTTCCAGTACTAGATTTCGCATTTCTAATGTGGATGCTAGAGGCACTGCTGGTTTTGATACAGCCACTGGCGAGATCAGTTAGATATATATATTTGATATAAAAGTATCTGCAATTCCTTATATTACCTCTCTTCATTGTTTCCCCTCATGTCCAAGAAGAGAGCAAGATAGGATTGGAAAGACAGCATTTAGTTTTCTCATAAAGTATAATTTTTAAAACATACCCTCGGAACAACAGTTTCTATGGTAGTCCTCAATGTTTAAGCATCAGGAAATAAAAATATCCCATCGCACAAACAACTTATTAACCAACCTATATAAATAATGAAATTACTCACACTGTGAGCCCTAGAATATATATTCCATTCTCTGCTGATTGTTAAAGAATGTTAAGTCTGAAGCCAACCTTTCGTATATCTTGGGAATGAATGACGATAAGTTTGAATCATCAGAAGGAGTTTTCATCATAGTTGAAGCCATTTTATAATGTAGAAATTCCTTTTTCCTATTTTAAGTAATGAAAGTCCATTCTTAAGAATATGTTGTCCAATAACCAAAACACTCTCCGGATTTGTTACTTGTTGGTGATTTATACTGACTCCGCCATCTGTTATCATCCGATACCTAAAACAGAAATATTTAGTAACTAGATAAATCCAATCATATTGATCTTTCCCAAAATACAGATACATCACTATTGTATTTCAGAGGCTCTTCAGTTGAAAACTTTTAGCACTGAACCATGAATTCATCTTCACTTTTACTGGATGATGTCTCCCTTTAATGCCCTTTTAAAGGAGCAGGTTTAAGGCATAACGGTTTCTTGTTTCCTGGCAAAAAGAGCTGCATATCTCAGCTCTTGATAGAACTGTTTAGTGGGTTTAACAATGAAGTGAATTGGAGTAATAAATCACTTTCTGGAGGGCGAGCCTATCTTGGGGAGAAAAAATCACAGAAAAGAAACTTCTAGGACATCGCTGCTTTTAATGAGTTATAAGTGACAACTACAGTATTGTTTATAGGTTCTTGGAAACTCACTTTAAGCGAAACAACATGTAACAAAACCAATTTTATCATAGGCTGAATGATAAGAGTTAAGTTCCTATTGAATATTTCTGGTCACAATATCATAAAACTAGAGACTAAGAACACTTCTAATATTAAACACTGAAATAAGCATGAGCTATACTTAGATTTAAGGAAACTGGAGTCCCTGAAAGACCCTTGGGGAGATCGTGCAAACTCCACACACTGGGCCTGGCCAGAAACTCTTGTTTTTTCTCAACATAATTAAATGTCATTATTAGAGGACCTGCTGTCACAATATTAGCTACAGAAATTTTTAAGAAACTTGCTTATGAACTTGGAAAATCCTTTCAAATTACATTCTGAATATATGCAAATAAGGGCAAATTTTGTTAAAACATCAAGCAAAGTTGGCTATTTTCAGAAATACAAAATCAGTTGCTGATTTAATAAATTACAGATTACTAAAAGTTTTTTGCTGGCATATATAAAGTAATTAGGTTCTATTCAAGTTATTTATCCAATTCATTCAATACATTTACAGAGCTCTACTATGCACTAAATATATAGAGTATAGCAAACTAGTGGAGAGAGGCAAACAAATGAACCATGATGACACACTGATTAAATGCTGTCATGAGATACTAGCTCTAGGAGCGCACTGCGGGGTGGGGACGAAGTTTTCCTGAAAGAAACAGGGAGAGGAGGTTGCAGTTATTCCCATGAACAGTGAGGAAGCATGGGAGTAGCCAGAAGGAGGTGAGGTTTCAGTAGAGGGCTAGAGCATGAAAAGCCTTGGAAATCTTACAAGGCATATTTTGGTTTTATCTGAATGTTACCAAACAAAGTTAAGAAACTACTATGCATGGTTTTAGCTCAACAGTAAAAGATTTAATATTTAGGAAAAAATGTTCTCTTACAAAGCTTTTAAGTTGTTTGCTCTTTTTTTTTTTTTTTAAGTTATTTAAAAAAAATATATTTTATTGATTTTTGTATAGAGAGGAAGGGAGAGGGATAGAGAGTTAGAAACATCAATGAGAGAGAGTCATTGATCAGCTGCCTCTTGCACACCCCCTACTGGGGATATGCCCGCAACCAAGGTACATGCCCTTGACCGGAATCGAACCCGGGACCCTTCAGTCCCCAAGCCGACGCTCTATCCATTGAGCCAAACCGGTTCCGGCAAGTTGTTTGCTCTTATTCCCTGATCATGTTCTACATTTTGTTTAAAAGCACAAGCTTATGCAATCTAAAAAATGTAAGTATTACTTAGAACTCTGCCTAAATCAGATATGGTGTCATCTTAAGTAGCAGTAAAACTTCTGTTATCAGTAAATGAAAAATGCTTCCACAGGGAGGAAAAGGCTTAGAACTACTGACTCACTGTGGGGAAGCGCATGATACCACCCTCAGTTCGTGAATATTAACTAGCATATTGGGAAATCAAGGTGGAGTGGCAGGTGATACAAAGAGAGACAATGGATATTTTCTCCTTATAGAGAAACCTAAGCTCTTTAGGATAGAAGCAAATAATCCAAAACAATTGGGAAAAACACACTCCCACCAATTATAACATAACAAATGTCCTTCATAACCATGAACATGGACTGTTAGACCTATGCTAGAACTGTAGATGAGGGAGCCAGGATCTTTTGGCAAACTAATGCTTCTCCTACATCACACTATTTCATTTATAAGTGGATGAGCATCGAATATAAGCCAAATAACTTTTTTGTGGAACACCTAATACCACCACATAACAGGAATTTAAAGTATTCTACCTGCTTCCTGAATAAGAAAATAAAATTCACAAGTGGAATAATTGTATGTAATTATAATAGCCTTAGGAAGTTCTATCACATGCTTGTTTTCAGAAATCCAACTAATACTTTAAACAGGTTGGATAACCATTCTACTCCCCAAATAAAGAGGATACAGACTGAATATGAGAGGGCTCATATGGTTCTGTCCATTTAGGGCCTCTGTTCTTGTGATCTTCTCAATCTGTGACCATCCTGAGCTGACTGATCCCAGTGTATTTATTGAATATGAGAGGCCTGCTTTCCCCTGGCTGCCGGCACTGGTTCCCTCTGGCACCTGGGACCCAGGCTTCCCTCCGGCCACTGGAAGGCACCCGGGACCCCAGGCCCCACCCACCCACCGCAGCCAGCCAGCTGGTCGGTCGCAGCCATGGTGGCTTGCCCCGGCCCTTACAGCCTCAGATTCGTCTGGAAATACGTCCAGTCTAATTAGCATATTATGCTTTTATTATTATAGATACTGATTCCTTAAATGTAAGCCTTTTCTAATGTTGGAGGACAAATTGGGTCAATTTATAGTGGTACTTGACTTCATAGGAAATTTAAGCTATTTTCAGCAACAAGCTGAAATTTAAGCTGGTATCACCATTAATCAGTTTTCAATTAATTCTCAGACCAATATAACTCCTAGAAGAAATGAAACACCATTAAAGAATTCTCAGGAAAATACTCTGAGGAAACACATGCAGTGAACTGCACCATTTAATAGTGAAGTAACTGTGAATCTGAAAGTTAAATAACCTTACCCCCGGGGTCCATCTGGAATGGCATTTGCTTTGCGGCACGTATCTAGGACGCTTGTTCCAGGGTCAAGAACTAATTCAGAAAATGTAGCTTCTTTAAACAACTCTTTTAACTCTTCATCAGACATGACCTCCAGTGCATCTACGCTACTGTGATAAAGGGCTTGTGTACACCTGAAAAACAGTTTGAGGACAACATCATGCAATGCTTATTCAGACACGTTCTAATAACAGTAACCAATTATGAAGTCCCGTCTATGTTCTACACTGAAAGTTTTTGAAACAGCAAAATTTACCTGGTATAATTTATAAACTTTTCCCCTCCATTTTTTTTTTTTTTTAAACTAAGGTATTATGTGTGTACATAGCTTACCATTGCCCTAGGCCCCCCCCCCCCCCCCCCCCCGTGTTTTGCGTCCATTGGTTATGCTTATATGCATGCATATAAGTCCTTCGGTTGATCTTTTATCTTCCCTACCTCTCTCTAACATTCCCGCTGTAATCTGACAGTCTGTTTGATGCTTTACTGTCTTTTTGTTCATCAGTTTATAATGTTCTTTATTATCCACAAATGAGTGAGATCACGTGGTATTTTTCTTTCATTGACTGGCTTATTTCACTTAGCATATGTTCTCCAGTTCCCTCCAGGTTGCTGCAAATGGTAAGAATTACTTCTTTTTTGCCGAAGCCAGTTTGGCTCAGTGGATAGAGCGTAGGCCTACAGACTGAAAGGTCCCAGGTTCAATTCCGGTCAAGGGTATGTACCTTGGTTGCAGGCACATCACTATTAGGGGGTGTGCAAGAGGCAGCTGATCGATCATTCTCTATCATCGATGTTTCTAACTCACTTTCTCTCTCATCCTCTGTAAAAAAATCAATTATATATAAAAAAAAAAAGAATTCTTTTTTATGGCAGCATAGCATTCCATTGTGTAGATGTACAATAGTTTTCTGATGCAGTCATGAATATAGGGGTGCATATATCCTTTCTGATTGGTTTTTCTAGTTTCTTGGGATATATTCCTAGGAATGGGATTACTGGGTCAAATGGGAGTTCCATTTTCAGTTTTTTGAGGAAACTCCATACTGTTCTCCACAGTGGCTGCACCAGTCTGCATTCCCACCAGCAGTGCACCAAAGTTCCTTTTTCTCTGTATCCTTACCAACACTTGTCAATATTGATTTGTTGATGATAGACATTCTGACAGGTGTGAGATGGTACCGCATTGTCGTTTTGATTTGCATCTCTCGAATAATTAGTGACTTTGAGCATGTTTTCATGTGTCTCTTGGCCTTCCTTCTGACTTCTTAAGAAAAAATTCTATTTAGGTCCATTGCCCAGTTTTTTATTGGATCATTTATTTTTCTTTTATTAATTTGTGTAAGCTGCCTGCAGATGTTAGAGATTAAACCTTTAACAGTGATAACATTTGCAAATATGTTCTCCCAGACAGTGGGCTTTCTTATTGTTTTGTTGATGGTTTCTTTTGCTATACAAAGCCTTTTATTTTGATGTAGTCCCATTTGTTTATTTTCTCTTTAGCCTCCATTGCCCTAGGAGCAGTATCAGTGAAGAAGTTATTTTTGATATATGTCTGAGATTTTGCTGCCTGTGGATTCCTCTAGTATTTTTATGGCTTCCCATCTTATGTTTAAGTCCTGTATCCATTTTGAGTTTATTTTTGTTTATGGTGTAAGTTGGTGATCTAGATTCATTTTTTTGCATGTGTCTGTCCAATTTGCCCAACACCATTTATTGAAGAGGCTGTCTTGACTCCATTGTATATTCGTGCCTCATTTGTCAAATATTAATTGAGCATAGTGATTTGGGTCAATATCTGGATTCTCTATTCTATTCCATTGGTCTATATATCTGTTCTTGTGCCAGCACCAGGCTGTTTTGAGAACAGTGGCTTTGTAATACAGCTTGAAATCTGGTATTGAGATCCCTCCTACTTTATTCTTCTTTCTCAGGATTATAATTTATAAACAATTCAGTTTTTATGATAAAGAGAGGTTGTCTGAAAGTGACTATAGCCCACACTGGCAATCCCTGTTAGCAGTAAAGGACAATTCAAAAGCAGTGTGGCTCTAAATTTTCTCACGTCTATTATCTATATATAAAGAACCCTAATATGCAAAAAGATTGAACAACAGCAGAACAACTGTTTGCTATGACATGTGCTGACCACCGGGGTGTATGTGTGGAACATGGCTAGAGTCGGCAGCACGTGGCAGTGCACGGAACATGGTGGGCATCAGCTGCAGTGGGATGGAGCAGGTGAGCGGGGCACCAGACCAAGGCAGGGTGCTGGTTGCTATCATCGGGGTGAGCCTCTGGTGGTAACTGAAAGTTCTTTGCTTCTATCCGCTGTGGTCCCACCCAGCGCTCACTGGCTGCTGGTGCCAGCCCCGCTTGAACCCACAGCTGGTGCTAAAGCCAGAGATGCAGCTCTCACCTGTTGCTGGTCCTGAGTGTTCCACGCTGTCAGCAGGTGTGAGTGGTGGCTGCCACTCCAATCGCCCCTGAAGTGCTTCTCTACCTCCCCCCGCTACTGAGGGACAATCAGGGCAGATGCTGCAGCTTGCTCTTGCTGCTGGTGCTGGCCCCAGTCGCTCTGCACCATCCGTGGGTGCGAACGGGGCCAGCACCATCAGTGTGTGTGAGCGGCGGCAGCAGGAGTGGGGCTACCGGCACAGGGGATCAGGGGCCATGATGGGAGGAGTTACCAGCAGACAGGGGCCCAGGGGCCCAAAGGGGGTACAGAGGATGGGCGGAGACCTGCCCCTGTGCCCATACAGCCTTGTGGCTCACAGTTCAAGGTGCACAAATTCATGCACTGGGCTCCTAATTAACTAAACAATTTCATCAGTGTTAATTATTTGTTAATTATTTGAAAAGGCCACCTTTTAGCAGAATCCAGCCCTTCTTGTCCATGAACCAGCTTCGTGACTTCTGCAGCAAGTCGTTTCTGAGGACCCCGCTTTTCTGGCTCTTTGACATGCAGCTGCATTATGTGGTCAATCTCCGGAAGGGGCAGAAAAGTGAAGAGCTTCAGGTACCTTTCGGACAAAGAATAAAATATTACATTTCTATCACATACCTAGTTTTTATCTCTGGCTCCCTTTGCTTTTAAAATTATTTTTAATTGTGAAACAACAAATATGCAGAAATGTACTGAATATAATATAAGACAATCATACACATGCAGCTCAGACTGAAGGTATTACTATTTTGCCATCTTTAATTTATTTATATATTTATTTCTTAAAAATGTCTTTTTAAAAAACTAGTTTTAGAAGGAAGAAGAGGGAGAGAAACATAAATCGGCTGCCTCCTACACACCTCCTAATGGGGATAAGCCTGCAATCCAGGCTTGTGTCCTGAGTGGGAATCCAATGCTTGACATCTGGGTACATGGGATGATGCTCAATTAACTGAGACACACCAGCCAGAGCATGATCTTTTTTTTAAAAGTCACAAAATAACAAAGGTATAGATGATGTCCCCAGCCCCATCATATTCTCCTCTTGCCTCAGAGATAATCACCAATCTGAATTTGTGTGCATTCTTCCCAAGCATGTTTTTATTTTACACTTTTGTTTTTTCAGGTATGTGTACATTATATTTTCACCATCCAAAGTCAAGTCTCCTTCCATCACTATTTACCCACCCCCCCCACTTTATCTTCTTCACCCTCCCCCCCATACCCCTTTCCCTCTGGTAATCACTATACTGTTGCCTGTGTCAATGACATGTTTGTTTTTTCTTAATTCCTTTGATCTTTTTCACCCAGTCCCCCATAACCCTCCCCTCTAACAGCTGTTATTTTATTTTATTTTATTTTTTAAAAAATATTCTATGAATCTATGAGTCTGTTTCTATTTATTTTGTTCATTAGAGTCCACACATAAGTGAAACCACATGGTATTTGTCTTTCTTTGATTGGCTCATTTCACTTAGCACAATACTTCTGTAGGTCCATCCATGCTGTCGCAAAAGGTAAGATTTTCTTTGTTTTTCACAGCTGAATAGTATTCCACTGTGTAAATGTATCACAGTTTTTTACCCACTCATCTACTGATGGGCAGTTGGGCTGCTTCCAAATCTTGGCTATTGTAAATAATGCTGCAGTCTTCTAAACCAGTGTTTTGTATCTCTTCACATATACTCCCAGAACTGGTTGTACGGCAGTTCTCTGTAGGCCTTAGCTTTCTTTTGGGTAAAAGCAAGACAATGGGGCTTTGATTTTTAAGTTTCTGCCAGAGATCTAATATAAAGTGTACTTGATTACGTTTATCTCCATGTGGGAGAACACATATGGGCAATATAGGTATCATAAATGATTACTGTGAAAAGAAATATAAAGAACAGCCTAGTAGTTGATCAATTTTTAATGTTGTATTAATGAAAAATGATGTCCATGATACTGTTTTTTTTTGGTAGCTATATGACTACTGAATTTATGGTCAACTAAACTTAACGGAGAAATTTTTACAGCACTGGTATCCATATTATGAATCACTGTAACAAGAATTGAGGAATTAACCAATTTCATCTGCTCATCCTTAAATTTTGATTCTGACATATTCCTTCTAAATTTGTCATCTTGCTAAGAGAAATGTCTGAGATGATTTAATAGATGTCTTCAGAGCATTTCACTCCAAAGCAGCAAAATATAAATTCTTTTCAAGTGGACATAAAACATTTTCTAGAATCAATCTCATGTTAGGACATAAAACAAGTTTCAATTCATATCAAGCATTTTCTTTGACCATAATGAATTGAAACTAGAAACCAAAAACAAGAAAAACACTGAAAAACATACAAAGACATGAAAACTAACTAACATGGTACTAGACAATGAATGGGATAACAATGAGTTCAAGGAAAAAAATCAAGAGACATTGAAACAAATGAACAGGAGAACACAATAACCCAAATCTATGCAGTATGATTGGGGAAATTAATAGCATTACAGGAAATAAGAAAAATATCAAATAAGCAAAACTAATTTACACTCAAAGAAATTAGAAAACAATAACAAAGTCCAAAGAGAGTAGAAGGAAGGAAATAACAAAAGATCAGAGCAGAAATAAATTAGAGTCTAAAAAAAACACAAAAGATCAATGAATGGAGAGGGAGGGTATATATGGGAGGGGGGGCAATGCTAAAATACGTACACAGATAATAATTTAATAAAAAAAAATCAAGATTCTATTCAATAGAGCAACAAATAAAATCTGTTAAAAATTCTAAAAAAATAAAATAAAATAAAAAAGCAACACAAAAGATCAATGAATGGGGATGGAGGGTATGTATGGGGGGGCAATGTTAAAATATGTATACAGATAATAATTAAAAAAAGAAAAGATCAATGAAACCAAGAGCTGGTTCTTTAAAAAGATAAAAAGATTGATAAAGCTTTAACCAGACTTATTAAGAAACAGAACTCAAATAAAATCAGGAATGAAAGACAATAAGTAACACGTGACTCTGCAGAAATATAAAGAATTATAAAAAAATATTACGAACAACAATATATATCTGCAAATTAAACAATCTGGGCTAAACAGATATTCCTAGCAACATACAATCTTCTAAAACTATAGCAGGAAAAATCAGAAAATCTGAATAGACGGAATATAACTAATGAAGTTGAGGCAGTAATAAAAAAAAAAAAAACTCCCAACAAACAAGTCTTAGACTGGATGACTTCACAAGTGAATTTTACCAAACATTCACTCAAAGTAGAACTAACATCTATCCTTCTCAAACTATTAAAAAAAAAACACACACAAAAAAACAACAACAAAAAACAAAAAAAACTCAAGAGGAGAGAGAATACCCAATCTCTTTTACGAAGTCAAAATTATCCTAATTCTGAAGGCAGATAAAGATACTGACACTAGCCGAAACCAGTTTGGCTCAATGGTAGAGTGTTGGTCTGCGGACTGAAAGGTCCCAGGTTCAATTCTGATCAAGGGCATGTACATTGGTTGTGGGCACATCCCTGGTAGGGGGTATGCAAGAGGCAGCTGGTCGATGTTTCTCTCTCATCGATGTTTCTAGCTCTCTCTCTCCCTTCCTCTCTGTAAAATATCAATAAAATATATTTTTTTAAAAAAGACACACTAGAAAGAAAGAAAATTATAGGTCAATATACCTGATGAACACATAGCTAAAGTCTTCAACAAAATATTAGCAAACCAGATTGTAGCAATATATTAAAAAGATTATATGCCATGATTAAGTGGGCTTTATTCCGGGTATGCAAGACTGGCACAATATCTGCAACTCAATAAGTGTTATACAAGACATAAACAAAATGAACAAAAATCATACGATCCTATCAACAGATGCAGAAAAAGTCCACTATAAAAATCCAGCACTCATTTTTGATAAAAAACTCCCAGCAAAAAGGGGAATTCCAAATCTTGTTTACCTCTGGTTATAAAATAAAGTCTCAGCTTGCTGGCTGAATCTCTCTCTGTGGCCTCAGCCAGGCACAGGAGATCCTCCGAGGCCCAGCTTAATTTCTTTAATCCTTCGCCACACCCCCACAGGCTCACCAAACCCTTCACTCTGCTGGCCCGGCACATGTGGCGCCCAAAGCGGGGCCTGAGTTTGGGGAAACTACAATTGTAAGGTGAAAGGAGGCTCCCTTAAGGCACGTTTGCAGAAAGCAAAAAATAGGGTAGGGAGCAAAGTTTAGTAATAGCTAGGTGTAAAACATAAGAAAATAATACTGTCCAAATCTGAGGACTATAAAGAAAAATCAAACTCTCTAGAAGGAAATCCAATAGCACAGCTTTGCATCAACATCATCTTCGAGAGAAGCCAGAGCATCGTCACCAACAGTAGCAGCCTGAATGCTGAGACCATCCCACAGAGGCTCACCGACCTGAAGCAGCTGTGGGGCATCCTCATCAAGGAGAGGGAGAAGCAGCACAGGCAGCTGGAGGAGGTACCGGGGACCCAGAGAAGCTCTTTGTCCCTTCATTCAAAAGACTGAGAGTTGCTCCAATAATAGTGATGCAGAAGAAAACAAAGGATAAGCAAGTGACTAAGGTGCTGACTAGCTTTGGTGAGCTGCCAGTTTTCTTGGTTGGCCAAATCTAAGGACTCTAAGAAGGTAACTTTCATTTTGTAGCTGAAAATATTAACATGCCTGTAGTTTGATTTCTCTCTTATTGCTGTGTTGCATTGGCATTGTTTTGTTATTGTTTTAATAGCCAGAGCTTTGTTCTTGATGTTCAAGTTTTAAAATGTTAACTTGTCTGTAGTTTGGGTTTTGCATTGGCATTGTTCTATTATTGTTCTAATAGTCAGAGCTTTGTTCTTGATGTGTAAGTTTTAGTGTAGTAGCTTAAAAATAAAAGAAGGGAGAGAGATAGGGAGCCCCTATAGGGTTAAGCCTCGGACTGACTTGTTGGCCAAGCCACAAACAAGTCTGAGCTTAGAGGACATAGCCCTCTTAGGATAATTAAGCTTGACCTTATGACCTTCCCTAGATCCTTCCTGGGTAGTTAATGGGCTGTGGGAGGTGCAGCAAGTACTGCCAAAACAAGGGAAACTCACAAGAACACTGTAACTATGTTGACCACTACCTGGTTTACCTCTGGCTATAAAATAAAGCCTCAGCCCTAACAGGTTTGGCTCAATGAATAGAGCATTGGCCTGCAGACTGAAAGGTCCCAGGTTCGATTCTGGTCGGAGGGCATGTGCCTTGGTTGCAGGCTCATTTCCAGTGCGAGGTGTGCAGGAGGCAGCTGATTGATGTTTCTCTCTCGTTGATGTTTCTAACTCTATATCCCTCTCCCTTCCTCTCTGTAAAAAAATCAATAAAATATATTTAAAAAAATAAAATAAAATAAAGCCTCAGCTTGCTGGCTGGATCCCTATCTGTAGCCTCAGCCAGGTACAGGAGATCCACTAAGCCCCAGCTATTCTCTTTGTCTTTTCTTTAATCCTTTGCGGCCGCCGCCCCCCCCCCCCCCCTTCAGGTTCACCGAACCTTTGACTGTGCTTACCCTGCACAAGGAAGAATTTAAGTAATTAA